TCAACTATGTGACCCAAGTCTCCAGAAACAAAAGAAACTGGAATCATTTGATAGCTAAAATAGTAAGTTAAGCCAGGTGCCAGTGGTTTATGCCTGTGATCCTGGCTACTCACAAAGCTAAGATCTGAGAATTGCTGTTTGAGGCCAGTCGAAAAAGAAAATTAACCACCAAAAAGCCAGAAGTAGAGCTGTGGCTCAAATGATAAAGAGTACTAGCTTTGAGTGAAAAGCTGAGGGACAGCACCTAGGCCCTGAGTTCAAGCACCACTCCCTCATCCTCCCCTCCCCCCAGCTCCCCGACACACACTTAAAATCTGATAGTTAAAAAAAACAAGAGTAGGGGCTGGGAAGGTGGCTCAGTGGTAGAGTGCTTGCCTTGCATGCATGAGGCCCTGGGTTCAATTCCCCAGTACCACATAAGCAAAAAGATAAAAGCTGGAAGTGGCGCTGTAGCTCAAGTGGTAGAGCGCTAGCCTTGAACTAAAAGAGCTGAGGGACAGCGCCCAGGCCCAGAGTTCAGGCCCCACGACCGGACCCCAAAAAAAAAAACAAAAACAAGAGTAATTGCAGTTGCCAAGAACATCCTTCAGGAGTTATGTTAAATATCTTACTGTTTATTATCTTGACCTGTCAGATAATAAGGTAAACTGAAAATACAAAATAACTGTAAAGAATTACAGACACTTATGTGACAAATCACAATGTTCAATCTAAGGAGAAGTTGTCTGGGGCCTAAATAGTAGAGGCCATAGACTCTATTTGATTATTTTCTGTATTATAGTTCAAAGTACCTGACAGATAAAACATCCCATGAGTTTACCAAATTTATGATATCCTGAGGTGCTGTGAAGTGGGGCTTTCCTGAAGCTTTGATTCTCCTGGCAGAAATAGGACTATTCTGAGATTTATAGGCCATAGCTCATTCTTGAGTTACAGCTCAAATGATTTTTAACTACTTCATCATAGGGAGCAATTGAGAAGAAGTCCTGTTCAATTTCTCATTGCCTTCTTTAGCAGACTACTTAAATAATTCAGACAGCCCATGAGAAGTCATAGATTGAATGTTATACCCAGCATGTGTATTAATGAACAATAGAACTGGTTTCTCATAACCTACAGATGACAAAAGAGTGAAAACACACACTTCTTCATGAAGAAAAGTTCTTGCTTTCAAGACACTTCACTTTGAGTTGTCATGGACCATGTAGAACTAAATAGCTCCAATGAAATGTCCAATATTAGGACTGGGTCATGCTAGCTATCTGGGTCTCTCACAGTGGAATATTAACTCTATAAGGTATTAGAAGATTTTCTAGAGCAAGGACTGGGGGGACATGGCTCAGCACTTCTACCAAGTATGAGGCTTTGAGTTTAAATGCTAGTATGAAAGAAACAATTGAAGAAAATCAAGTTCATGAATGATAGCCCTCTTTTGGAGATGAACAATACACATTAGCAGATTAAAAGCTGGCAGGAGCAGTGCTGCAGGAAGAAATTCTATAGTTTGGTATTTTTTCAAACTTCCTTGAACCATAGAACATTTTTCTTCTAAAACCCTCAGAAGAACCATTACCATATTTCAGTATACAGTGTTCTTTCTAATGCTGTTTGGGAAGTGGTGCTAAATTATGTCTAAAGTTTCATTGGTAGGCTCTAAACTAGCCAAGGAAGAGAGAGTGCCAGGGCCTCTAAAAGCTGCCAATTTCTGAAGGTCCTAACCTTTTGGGAAAAAATAAAAGCAGCTAAGACTAAGAGAACAACTAAGACAAAGAAGCCAGACAAAAATGTCTCCCTTCTATACCCACCCCCCTACTCTTTCCTGCTCCCAGCAGCACATGTCAGGGCCACATGTAAGCTTCTAGATTCTTCCATGGTTAATCAGCACTTGCCCCATCAAGCTGGAATTGCTTGTATACTCAAACTCAACTTTCTCCCCTACTTGACTATGAGTACCCTAAGGTGGAACCCTCTTCCCAGTGAGTGCCTGTGATGCTGGCTAAGTAACTGATTGACCCACGCTCTATTCTCTTTATATTATCAACTTCATGATGGAAGTAGTTACCAAACAACAGGCACAGGGCTAAGAGCTTCATATGGATTTATTCTCACAACAACCCTATGAGATAGGTATTTTTTTTATTTATTGTAAAAATGTAGAAAATAAATTCAGAAATTGTCAAAGCTACCCAGCTAGTAAATGATGGAGCCACAACATAAGTCTGGACAGTTTGACTTCAGAGCCTACATTTTAAACCAGTGTACCTGTCTTTTCTATCAAAGTAGATAGTGGATTGCTTAAAAATTCTTACTTTGTCCAGGCAGCTCATCTCTTGATTATTTTGCTAAGACAATATCAGCAAGTATAGAAATGAAGAAGAACTGCTTTGGGATAAGGAAGGATTTTTGAAATGTAAGTTTTTGTCTTAACTGTTTTTTCTAAGACGGAATTAGGACACACTTCAGAAGATACTCCCAGATTGTTCAAGAGATAGCAGAGGATGTGGGTATGTTTTAAGGTTAGTTGCCTACTATTAATCTTCTTTCAAAGTCTTTTTTTTTTGCCAGTCCTGGGACTTGAACTCAGGGCCTGGGCACTGTCCCTGAGTTTCTTTTTGCTCAAGGTTAGCACTCTACCACTTGAACCACAGCACCACTTCTGGCTTTTTCTGAGGAATCAAACCCAGTGCATGCTAGGCAAGCACTCTACCACTAAGCCACATTCTCAGCTTAGAGTCTTTTAATGGTCACCTTATGTAAATACATCTTAACCCTATTCAAACTAGCCAGTCTGGAGCAGATTATGAACCTAAGCTCAATCAATCTGAGCAGAGCAGTAGGGTCTGCTGCATTAGGAATAAATAGGGGAGCAGCCTGTCTGTTTTGTGTGTTGGCTAGACAGATTTCTCTCTGATGGCACACCCTTTTGCAGAATTAAAATTTGCCTTGCTCCCAATTCTTTGTTTTCATGTCTATTGTTGTGAATCCAGTGGTTCTTGGAGAGTATTACTTATAACATAAGATTCATATCAGATGTGAAACTCTACAGTTTTGTAGAGAGAGGAGTAGTGGCCTGTTATGGGTGACTGTCAGGATCAGAATCAAGGCCTAGGACTGAGTACAAGGAGAATCTTTAAAAGACAGGCACAGGTGGCACAGGAAAAGGACTTGGAAAGGACAGCTGAACACACTAGTTCTCCTGTTAACAGTACTGATAGATCATTGGTTTCATATGGAAGAAGGTAAAGCAGACATCAAGTCTAAAAATTTCAAGGGGGATTACAAAGAACACAATGAGATTCTATCTCACCTGTCTGAATGGTCATCAAGAATACAACAGCAAATGAGGATATGGGAAATAAAGACTCTCATCTGCTCTTGGCGTGAATGTAAACTAGTGCAACTACTATGGAAATTGGTATAGAGGCTCCTCAAAACACTCCCCCCACAACAAAACCCCCCAAAGATAGACCATGATCCTGCCATGCTACTCCTGGGTATATATCTTTAGGAATGTAAGTCATCATATAATTAAGATACCTGTGCATCTATGCTTATAGCAGCCAAATCATATCAGCCTAGGTGCTCATCAACTGAAAATGTGGTGTATATATACAATTATTCCGCCACAAAGAAGAATGAAATTACGTCATTTGCAGGAAAATCAATGGAACTAGAGATCATGATATATAGTAAAATAACCCAGACTAAGAAAGACAAATATCACTTGGTCTCCTTTTATGATGAATCTAGACCTTAGGAAATGAATGATGGGAAAGTAAAATAGAGACTGCGTGTGGGTAGGAAGCAGTGGGAGGTGGTTAAGTGAATGGAGAGGGTAAAGGCAGAGGTGAATATGATCTAAGACTTTATACACATGTATATGTATACAGAATAAAGGTTGCTTATTGGTGAGTAGAGACAGAAACTAGAGTGGCAAGAAGGAACTTCAAACTTCAATTAATAGTAATACTATGATAAAGAAGTTAGTAGTGAAGTACACTTTTGGCTACAAATCTGAACATATCACAAATAAGATAGGTTGATAATTACAAGGCTAAAGACATGTGCAGTGTGATATTGCAAATACTACAAAATGTTAATGAAGCTGGAAATACAGGTGCTCTTTAAATAATTCTCTCAACCACTCTGAATGTTGGAATTTTTTTTTTTTGGTCGGTGGTGGGGCTTGAACTCTAGGCCTGGGTGCTGTCCCTCAGCTCTTCAGCTCAAGGCTAACGCTCTACCACTTGAGCTACAGCGCCACTTCCGGTTTTCTGGTGGTTTATTGGAGATAAGAGTTTCACGGACTTTCCTACCCGGGTTGGCTTTGAACCGCAATCCTCAGATCTCAGCCTCCTGAGTAGCTACGATTACAGGTGTGAGCCACCGGCGCCCAGCTGGAAAATTTTTATATTAAAATGCTGGAGAAGAAAAACTGCTTTTAATCCTTTGATTCTCTTATGTATGGAAATTAAAACCGAATGTATATATCAAGTAAGACATCAGGGGCACCATTCTCAGAGCCATGATTTTATCCTTATTTCTTGCTTTATTTTGCAGTGCTCGGGATCAAATTCAGAGTCTCATATAGAGTCTCGTTGACAACAAGCAATATCCCAACATATAATTTTATCTTAAAAATATTTAATCAGAGAGATAAAGCAAACCATTCCTTTAGTTCGAAGACATATTTCAGACTGTCTTAACTTACATTATATACATCCTTTTTCTGGCTCTAAGTTGTGCAGTCCCTGCACTTGGCCTTTGTTTTGATACTACTTCCAAGCTAATCACTAAAAGATGGGCACATGCGCTGACAACACTTTAACACAGTGAGGTAGAGCTCCTGGGATGAAGAAGAAGCTCATATGATGCCAACAAGACAAAATAAGTCACAAGATAATGTTAAGAAAAACTGACATTTTAAGGAGAGGCAGTCACTGAATAGATTACAGATTCAATGTTGATATCTTCAAGAAAGAACTTTTGGGTTTCATTACCTTTGTCAAGAGATGCTCCAGCCATATGGTAAAAGCTCAGGGCAGTGTCCACATCATTAATATTCTTTAGGAAAGTAAAGAAGTTCTCTACCTCCTGAAATGTCAGACCCTGAAAGAGGTGAGACAGCAAGGTAAGACAAGGCCTGCAGTAAAACAGCTGAGATGAAAAATTAGGTAGCAATCTTCATGTCTATAAGTCAGAAAGGTGTGCTTGTATCTAGAACAGAGACCAAATAAATTAGTCAAATTTGTACATTACAGGAGAACAGAATTCTGGAACATTTTCCTGAGAAAAGCAAAGTGGCTAATTGCTTCCCCTTCGACATGTAAATTTCAACCCAAAGCTGCTTGCAGTTTTTGCCGTTATTTTTAATGAAAATATTTCTAACTGTACTTTCTAATTCATCACACTATTCATGACATGTCCTAAGTAGGCTGAAACTACTTGATCTGCTATATATCTTAAGTAGTAACATTGGAGTCAGGACTTCCATTTTAATAGTCTGTTCCTAGGCCAGATAAGCTTTTTGAAGCTTAAGCCAATTAGTCACTAAAGTCAGTCATATACAAAGGGTGGCTTAGCAAAACCCAAGTACAAAAAAGCTGTTCATTATCTCAACGTAAAAGTTGTTAATGAATTGGTGGCTCATGCCTATCATCCTAGCTACTCAGATGTGAAGATCCAGCTCTAAGACAGCCTGGGAAGACAATTATCTCCAATTAACCAGTAAAAACCTGAACTAGAGGCTTGGCTCGAGAGAGAGTGCTAGCTATGATGAAAAAAAAATTAGCATTACTGGGCACTGGTGGCTCATGACTGTAATCATAGTTACTCAGGAGGCTGAGATCTGAGGATCATTGTTTGAAGCCAGCCCAGGCAGGAAAGTTTGTGAGACTCATATCTCCAATTAACCACCAAAAAGGCAGATGTGGAGCTGTGACTCAAGTGGTAAAGTATGCTAGCCTTGAGGGGGAAAAAAATAAAACAAAAATGCTCAGGGACAGCATTAAGGCCAAGTTCAAACCTCAGGACCAGCACACACACACACACACACACACACACACACACACACACACACACACACACACACAAATTCTAAAACAGAATATTGTAGAACAAATATTTCCTACTTTGAAAGCAAATCTCTAATTTTTGCTAGTTTTTCTTTTGTGAAACATCAAATCAATTAAAGACAAGATTGGTTACCCTGCAATTATCTAAAGAGAGAGAGAGGAGAAAGAGAACAAGATGAACTGAATGACTATTCATTTGATAATCTGGGAAAACAGCGAATATAAATCATATTATGTCACTATTAAATCCAAATATCTGACACTTTATTTTTATTATATAGATACAATAAAGAATATTTATTTAGCACTCACTAACCACTTAGTAACATGCCAAGAACAGTGAGGAATAAGGTTGCACTGGACTTAGAATTTTAGATGGCATTCTTTGTGTGTGTGTGTGTGTGTGTGCGCGCGCGCGTGCGTGTACATGTGTGTTAGTCCTGGGGCTTGAACTCAGGGCTTGGGCAATGTTCCTGGGCTTCTTTTGCTCTACCACTTGAGCATAAGTTCCACTTCTGGCTTAATTTGGATAGTTTATTGGAGATAAGAATCTCATGGACTTTTCTGCCCCTGCTGGTTTTGAACCATGATCCTCAGATCTCAGCCTCCTGAGTAGCATGGATTACAGGAGAGAACCTCTGGTGCCTGGTTTAGGTGGTCTTCTTAAAGAGAAGTTATGAAATTTTTTTCTTGGTAATCACTTTAGTAAAAAGCTCAGAGGTGGGGCTGGGAAGGTGGCTCAGTGGTAGAGTGCTTGCCTTGCATGCACGAGGCCCTAGGTTCGATTCCTCAATACCACATAAGCAGAAAAAAAAGCCGGAAGTGGTACTATGCTCAAGTGGTAGCACACTAGCCTTGAGCTGAAGAGCTGAGGGACAGTGCCCAGGTCCAGAGCTCAGGCCCCATGACTGGACCACCCCCCCCCAAAAAAAAAAACAACAACCTCAGAGGTATCTAAGAATAAAACTAGAGTAAGATAATCCCATAAACCCCATGAATGTTAAAATGAAAACTAGAAGCAGCTCAATTTACAGCTCAGGTTGTAGTTTCTGAGTCTATTGGTAGGTGGTTTGAACTGAGATGCCAGCCACGGCAGGAAAGTATGTGAGACTCAACTCCAGTATACTACTCAGAAAAGGCTGGAAGTGGCACCATGGCTCAAGTGATAGAGTGATAGCCTTTAGCCAAAGAAGCTCAGTGACAGCAGGTAGGCCTTGAATTCAAGCTCCAGGAACAGTGTACATGTGCACGCATGTGTGCGCACACGTGTGTGCACGTGCACGTGCACGCACATGCACAACACACACGCACAACACACACACTCACACACACAGAGGCAGATGTGCTGGAGCATCCCTTAATCTTAGCTACTTGGGAGGTAGAAGCAGGAGGATCTTGAAGTCTAGGCAAGCCTGGAAAAAGTTAGCATTGAGACCCTGTCTCACAAACAAAATATAAACAAAAGGGTAAGGGAGTATAGCTCAGGGTAACACACACTTGCCTTACTTATTATTAACGTAATTAGTTTGTTAATTAATTAAAATACTTGAATAAGCATTTTACCAAACAAGATATAGAATGGATGAGCATATAAACTGAAGCTCAGCACCTTTAGTAATAGGAAAATGCACATTAAAATCACAATGTCAGGGGCTGGGACAGCGCCCAGGCCCAGAGTTCAGGCCCCACGACCAGACCCCCCCCCCAAAAAAAATCACAATGTCAGAATGACTAATACAAAAGGCAGACAACAGCAAATGTTGGTGAGGATGTGGAAAAATAAAACAGTATGGCTACTTAGGAGAATGATCTGAGGACTACCAAGTTTGAGACATGACCTGAAAAGTAACTAAAGCAAAAAGGGCTAGAAGTGTGGCTCAAGTGGTAGAATGTCAGCCTAGAAAGTGAAACACCATGAGCTGAAACTCCAATATTGTCAAAAGCAAATAAACAAAATTAAACATAAATATAACATATGAGCCAGCTCTCCTACTCCTCCTTTATTTATTTATTTTTTCTGACAACACTAGGGCTTGAATTTAGGGCCTAGGCATATCCGTTAACTTTTTTGCTCAAAGCTGGTGCTCTACAACTTGAGTCACAGTTCCACTTTTGGCTTTTTTTTTTGAGGTGGTTAGTTGGAGATAGTCTCATAGACTTTCCTGCCTGGGCTGGCTTCAAATCTCAATTCTCAGATCTCAGCCTCCTGAGTAGCTAGGATAACAGGAATGAGCCACTACTAGTACCAGGCTCTTAGGAATCTTTTTTTTTTTTTTGCCAGTCCTGGGCTTGAACTCAGGTCCTGGGCACTTTCCCTAAGCTTCTTTTGCTCAAGGCTAGTGCTCTACCACTTGGGCACAGCACCACTTTTGGCTTTTTCTGGGTATGTGGTACTGAGGAATTGACAGGGCTTTATGCATGCTAGGCAAGCACTCTACCACTGAGCTACCTTCCCAGCCCTCCTCGGAATCTTAAGAGAGAAACAAAGGTCCTCATAAAAACCTGTGTGTAAATATTCATAGCAATATTATTCATGACAGCCCAATTCAATTCAACAACAAAACAAAAGTAGCATATCTAAACAGGGATTTTTTTTTTTTTTGTCAGTTGGGGGGCCTGAATTCTGGGCCTGGATGCGGTCCTTGAGCTCTTCAGCTCAAGGCTAATATTCTACCACATTAAGCCACAGTGCACTTCTGGTTTTCTGGTGGTTAATTGGAGATAAGAGTCTCATGGATTTTCCTTCCCAGGCTGGCTTTGATCTGCGATCCTCAGATCTCAGCCTCCTGAGTAGCTAGGATTATAGGCATAAGCCACCAGCGCTCAGATGGATGGATTTTATGGTAGACAAATATACCTCAATATAGTTGTTTTAAAAACTAAAAGGCAGCTAGAGAAGATGAGAATAAGGATGAGGGAAATGTGGCTTCCTCTGGAGATGGTGTTGGCAGGCCAAGGATGAATGCAAACACAGTATAATGAATGAGGCCCTTGCCCTGGCTTTAAATCAGTCATAGCAAATTCATCTGCCAGGAGTCAATTCAATTGCCCAAGTTTCCTCTATGGCCCATTGAAAAGATAAAATAGCTTTCTTCCTTCTTTCTTATATAACATGCCTCTCACCTAGCTTATCATCTATCCTCTTTATGGAGATGCTTCATAAAATAAAGCCCCAGACTTCTCTTCAATTGCAGCCTGGCAGCAGGGAAAATTACACCCTTTCTGCTACTTATATTTCTACAAGTAGTTCATGTTCCTAAAACATCATTTTCTTCATATATTCATCTCTCCTACTGACAAAATGTTAGTGATTTCCTGTTGCCTCCTGGATAAATTCCCAAGCTTCTCAGTCTAGGACAAAAGGCTTCCCACCATCTCTTCCATAACTTGATTTACCAGTTTTTTCCCTTAGAACTGCAGGCTGGACCCTGACAACAATGGCTTCTTGTTTCTCCCAAAACCTGTGCTTTTTCAAGTCATGAGAGATAAGCAGCAACAATGATCAGGATCATTAGTGCAAAGTTTATGGGCTCTAGAAGAAAACAGACCTTCCTGGCTTTGGATCCTGGTATCACTTTGTAAGACAATGTATGATCTCTCCTAAATAACTAAGGCTTATACGCATAGCTGTTAAACAGGATTCTTGTGGTAACTAGGGAAAAGACAGGAAAAATGTTCAGCATATAGGTATGGTAGATAGTGGGCAGCATTAAGCCAGCAGACTCATGTCTATAGAACTAATGATTATGAATTCTTTTTTTTTGTTGTTGTTGGTTGTGGGCACTGTCCCTGAGCTCTTCTGCTCAAGGCTAGCACTCTACCACTTGAGCCACAGCATCACTTCTGGCTTTTTCTGCTTATGTGGTGCTGAGGAATCGAACCAAGGCAAGCACTCTACTATTGAGCCACCTTCCCAACCCCATGAACTTATCTTACTAAACTCTGATATAGACTCTCTTCTCTGGCACGTGTAGAATCTTGAGGGCTAGGAAAGAGGAAAGGCTGAGGTAAATGAAACTGGGGAAACTTTGAGAA